TGAAATGACTTAGAAAGATTTTTAAAATTTAAATATCTACATAGAATAATCAACTTGGGTTTGTAAACAATTTTTTTCAAAAAATTAGTTTCATTTTCTAATATGATACAAATTTGAAAGATCTATTTGTGCATTTCTTCAAAAATATTTTGATTTAATAAAAAAAAATAGACATTTTTACAAAATAAAATTGTTTAAAAAATAATTATAAAAATCTTCCTATTGAGTATATCTATTTGTAATACATATTATGAATATACAGTATTAAACATGCTAAATATTATCAATCCGAGATTGTTAAAACATCTACGTATTAGAAATTAAGAAATCATTTTGCTTAACAAGATAAATTCCAATTTGGGTTAGTTGTTAACCCAGACCAAACCCAACCTTGAGGTGATAAGAACTATACAGAACTTCCTCTAGTATCTTTAACACCGGCTACATTATTGAAACACAGTAGTTCTGCAGAAGTTATTTGTGTTATAGCAAAGATGCTTCCATTTGAATATTCTCTGATGCTGGTAATTTCTACGCACGGGCCTTGCAGTGTAGAAACCTTTAATGCAATATTAGCAATTGATGTGTTGAAGAAAACCGTACTTGGTACAAAATGAGTGCAATAAAATGTAAGTGAAATAGCGGACAATATGATATTTGGAATTATTACAAAAAGGTTAAGAGCAAAGATAAACAACTTAAAAGGATTCATAGTTGCTAGCATTATTGTATTTTGTAAAAATACTTTGATAACATCCTCTGAATTTCATCCCACGTACATATTTGTGTAAACTGGGCTTTAAATATATTAGCAAAAAATAATAGAATTTTAAATTCTAGCAAAGTATTTCTATTGAATAGAATTCAGATTTATATGTGATTTTAATACGAGTGCTTAAAAGAATTCTTAATCGTATTTTTACAATTTTGTAAATTTGAGAATTAAGTCAATTTAAATATAATTTTATTGTTCAATTTAAATTATACATTACTTAAAAAAATTTTGATAAAAAATTTTTATTAGATTTATTTTTATATAAATAAAGTGTAAAGTGTATCTAATTTTTTTTAAAATTCTTTTTAACCATTAAATTATGAAGAAAAAGGGTATCATAGATATTATTTGTGCTAAAAGTAAATTTAATGAAACAAAATCTCAATATCAAAAAACAAAATCTAAAAAAACTCATACTGAATATATTAAAGCAACAAATGATTTATACAAGGCTGCTTACTACTTGTCTAATCATACAGAAACGTTTGAGATTCTTCAAAAAATTCAAAATGAAGGTAATGAAGAGACTAAAGGTATAATCAAATTTAAACTAGGAAGAATGTATCTTGGTGGTTTTGTCTGCAAAAAAAATATCTTTGAAGGACTAAGATTAACTATAGAAGCTACTAGAAATGGTCATACTAATACTAGAGCTTGGGTTAATAATTATGATTCATCTGATGATTTTGGTGCATCTATTGTTATCAAAAGTAATATGGAGTAAAATATTCACGTAACAGTGTTTGGAGCAAACCAAAAATTAATTTTTGAATTTTATTAATGATAATAAATGATACATTTAAATTAGAAAAATTCCTTCTTGTAAAAAATATTTACTTTCTAAAAAAAACATAATCTAAGAAACATTCAAATGAATTGAATTGACTAACTATAATTAATTAATTAGCATAAATTTTGTAATAGAGCATTTGTGCATTGTTGCATTTCATTGCATAATCTCTACTAATATATAATATAACTTCACTTCACCCCCAAGAAGAAAAAATATAAGTTCAAAGTTTACAAATATGATACAATAACCACAGACAGCTGGGATGAATTTTGACAGGCAACACACAACCTTACCTTATCATTAACAGATGATATTATACAAACACTCTCAATAGACCAACTCTGGCATCAAATTAATAATGTCATAACTAAAGCAGCCAAATCACATATACCTTTCACATTCAAATCTCAGAGACAATTCAAAACTTTTTTACAACAGCAACAAAATTTCATATAGGCCTAAGTTTATGTGGTAGCATATTACAAAAACTAGTTAAATTACAATCTCAACAACACAGAAACCCTGAGAACATTCAACAAATCCTTAGTACTATCAACCAAAAATTACAAACCATACAAACAGCTTACTAATCATCAAACAACTGCACTTACAACACAAAGTATCGGTAGCCAACAAATTAAATTAACTATTAATATCTTTAAAACATTAAGGAATATCTTATATCATACAAGAGAAATAGAAAATAAACAAGCACTCACCCAACATATTAATACTCAGATACAAAAACGCAATGATAACTTTTCAACTAACACAACTACCATGATCAACAGCATTATCAATAGACAAGAGTTGTTACACAATTGATAACGATTTTTTTTATATTTTTACGATACTTTTTTGAAAGGCTCATGTGCCTTATCCTTTGCTTACACTTTGCTTTATAACATATTCAAAATTTTGTAAATCGGTAATTTGATTGGTCGATCAATCATGTGATGCTATTTTGTTTGGTCAAACGATGATAATTTAACAATAACGGAAGTTTGATTATTTTTCATATTGAAAAAAACACTGTTATACATTTTTTTTATTGTGTTTACAACAAGAATATTTCTTCGTAATATTTCTTATTATAGTACAGCTATCATCTTGTATCTTTGATTAGTTGAGTGCCACGGTTATGTTTATTCGAATAAACATTTAATTTTTCAATAATTCCGACTTTAATTAAGTTAAAATGTATTAATGTAAAGTTTAGGTTTTCAACTGGTTTTGTAAAACTGCTATACAGCAATTATACGTATTTTGAATAATCTATTAGAGTATCATTTTATTCATATATTTGTCAACAATTTTTTCAGGTTTGAAGTAAAAAAAAATGACAAACCAATAAATCATTCGAAGCCATAATGTAAAGAAAATAATATCACCCATTAATTTTTTTTAAAAAAAAATTAAAAGAAACAAAAGAAAATACTTTATTAAACTTGTATTAAATTTGATGTATAGTACATACATTAATCGGCATTAGTTTTAAACTCATATATATCAATTTTTTTAATCAATAATTATTAGAAAGCGATATCTAACAAATATAGATTTATAATTTCACTACTATTTATTTGCAGAAAATTAAAAACAGGTACCGACTGGATTCGGAGGAACAAATGTACATCCAACGATACCAACATTATCTGCACAGCATGAAGTAAAATTTTGAATTGTACATTTACTACCAATAGGAGCACAAGGTGGTGGAGTAGGTGTTGGCATAGTGCATGTAGTTTCTATAAGAGTACAAGTAACGGTTTCTTTATTATTTTGTTTGTGCTTTTGACGATGATTATGATAACTTCTCTGATCATAGTGCTTTTGGTCATTATTCTGGGGGCAATTAAGGGTAGGAGGAGGTGTTTCTGTACATGTTGCTGTTACTGTTGCCGTGACAGTAGTGGTAGGGCAAGATTCATTGGCATCGACAGTAATATTCGATATCAACAGATACAAAAAAGTGACGATTAAAAGTATGTTAAGAGTTTGTCTACTCATTGTTAAATTTTTCGCAAGTTCGAATTTAATCTTGCAAAAATCCTAACAGTATATATAATATTTGGTTTATAATTTTTTAAAAATTTTTAATAAATATATTTTGTTATATTAAACAAATCTTACTTAATAATTGAATTTGGTTACTTAATAAAAAATAAAGTTTTATATATATTAAAAATTTTTATTCAAATTTATATTAAAAACATATTAAATTTAA